CCCCACCCCGTATGACACACCATAACATTCTTCACCCAGTCACTCAAGACATGGGTCTCCCTACCTCATGCCTAGCACTGTGCCCTCCCCTCCGAGTGCAGGCTCGGCTGAGAGACCACAGCCCAGTGAAGACCTGGTTAGGGACAGAGTCAGTGACCAGTAAGGCAGAGCTGGAGAAGCCTCTCCGGGTGGGGATGGAGGAAAGGCTGCAGAGAGGGGCTGGTGCAGACGTGGGCCAGCCGGAGGGGTGCAACAGGCCGAGGGCTGGATGGAGCCTTCAGAGCCTTGAAGACACGGTGGTGCACTGGGATTTTCCCGCAGGTGCCGCTGCACAGCTCTGAGCAGGGAGTGATTGACTTTGGCTTCAATCATTCTCTCAGGCAGTATGGAGAGAATGGATATGGAGAGGAGGAGGTGAGGCTGGCCAACGACCAGCAGGAGCTGCTAAAAGGACATGTGCAATGATATCCAAGAAGTGGCCATCAGATTCAACCAAAAAGGAGTCGTTGCAGGGGTGACCCCCATTCCTGCCCTCTCCCGATGGCGCCACTTCAACTGGGCCCTCTGCCGGGAACATCAGGAATGGTGTGGACTTAGACTAGAGGCAGCAGACCTTGTCCTATTTGTAGACACCCACATTCTGAAGGCCCAGGGCAGCACCTGATCTGAGCAGACACTACTCCTTTTCAAGTGCAGCATCACATCGGGGTTCCCTTTTCCTTTTGCACTGTAATCTTCCCATGTTAGTAGATGCCTGGCAGCTGGGTGCCAGCGGGGCTGCAGCCTCTGTGGCCCTGAGCTGAGCACAGGCCTCACCCTCCAAGCCTTGGGGCACAGACATCTTCGAAGCCCACAGTGTCAGGGAACGGGAGGGGCCTGGGGCACAGGCAAGGGCTGGTTTTGCCCTCATTGCCTGGACCTCACCCGTCATTACCTCTTCCCTTTACAGGGGAGACACCTCCTCCTAAACAGGGCACTTCCAACTTTACTCCCACCTGGGGTTCCATGACTTGAAGGTGGTACTTGGTGCCAAGTCACAGCTGGGCCCCGGCCCATGTAATAAAGGGAAGGGGAGCCTCATCTTCCTGACTCTAAGAGGGTTCTCAAACTTGATGGGTCCAGAAGTTGCCAGTTAAAGATACTGATATAGGAATCATACCTACCTCCACCCCCAAACCAATTCAGCAGAGCCTGCAGGGCCTGTAATCTGCATGTTAGTAGTTCACAGGGGGCCATGGTCCTCAGAAGCAGGAAGTCCAGCAACTTCTGAGGGAAGGCTGCCCTAGCCCCCAGCCCCCAGGAGGGAACAGGAGCCCTGAGAACCATAAACCTTTCCGACCCACAAGAGTGGAGGTGGGTCCTGGGGACGGGTCAGATGCCCACAGCCTCAGGGGACAGGGAGTTGGGGCTGCTTGCACGCATCTCTGCCAGACCTCTAAACTCATGCGGGCAGGCCAGGAGGGTGGCAGGGATGGGACAGGCTTCATGGTGACTCCACCAAGCATTCATTCTTCCCTCTCTGTCTCTACATCCATCTCCTGCCCTTAGCAAATGCAAAGGAGAAGTCAGTGATTCACAGTTCTTTCCCCTAAACACACCCACACCATTTTTTTCAAGACTCCACCCAGCACAAACCAGAACAAGAGCTAACAGATTTAAACTTTTATGGAACTTCCTGCTCCACAGGATACAGGGGATTCTTCCAGTAACTCCCACTGAGCTGGGGCCACTGTGGAGCTCTGCCAGGGGCAAGCCCAAGGGGCTTCCATTCTATGAGCAGCTAAGGGTAGAGGCTTGTGGCTGCCTGCTAGATGCCAACACCCCAAAAGGCCATCAAGTAACCAACATTAGGACCAAGAGGCAAGAAAGGGGCCCGAGAGAGGAATGTGCCATGCCACCCGGAACCTTGGAAGTCCCTGGACTCTGTCACAGCGGATGGGAGGCGGGGGGCCTCCTGGTTGGTCAAGGGCAGCAGCACATGGAAAGCCCACACACGCAGGCAGACTCACAGCCCAGCAGATCGGGAGGGTTGTGTTCAGGCTGGGACCCAGGAACATCCCACAGGGGCAGGCTCCACATGCTTCAGCTGAGAAGGCTGCTGGGAGCATTCTCCCTGTCCGGTCCCACAAATACAGTTCTCCTCCAGCCACCAATTTACTGTAGGCAGGCTCAGCTTCTAGAAATGGCGGTAGGCTTGCTGCCCACATCCCAAACATGGATGCTGCACACTGCCCAAGACAGCCTGCTGGCACAGCAGGAATAGGGTGCCCACTGAGTTCAAGTCCTGACACCGACACTCATGCCCAATGCACCATCCCAAGCAAGACTGATCTCCCTCATCTACAAGCCACCATCCCTCCTCTACAGGAAGCAGGTAACAGCACCTACCTTCTGGAACTACTGACAGTTAAAAGTATACAAGTTTAATATAAACTGCCTCATAGAGCTGGCACTCAATAAATTCCTGCCCTTCCTTCCTTCCTGCTCCTGTGACAGCTTCTTGTCTCAGCCCCAAACCCCAAAAGATCCCAAGCTCAGCCAACTCAGAAATGCCAAAGGGGCCCAGATACCACAGAATATAAATACTTTCAATAAGCCCTGAGGTTCCCAGACACGCCTGCTCTCAGGAGTTCAACTCCTAATTCACTGCTCAGCTACACTGGGGCTCCACTCCCCTTGCCAGCTGGCTCCATCCCCTGAATCCTACATTTTCTCAGTGTGGGAGAAAAAGAGGACCCTTAAGTTCTTCCCTTTGAAATCCTGGGGCGCTCTGGGACTGGGCAGCGGGGATAAGCAAGGTCACACGCCCGCATGGGGCCCTAAGGCTCCTGGCGAAAGGGGAGAAACACTTTACCTCTTTTTAAAGGTACACGGAGGTGCTCTGAGTCACCATCAGCATGCCGCGACGCGCGTCCTAGCTTCCCCACAGCGCTGCACCCCCCGCCCGGCGCGGCCGGCCCGGCTGCGCCAGGCGCAGGTAGGCTCTGCAGCCGGGTCCACTCTGACCACGCCGAGCCCCAGCGCTCAGAGATGCCATGGAAACTACGCGGGCTTCCGGACCCCCACTCACAGGGGCGCGGCCGGCCGCTGCCCTGGCCCTCCCGCTGGCGCCGGGCGAGCGGTGGAAGGAAACAGTTCTCGCCGCAAAGGAGATACGGTCAGCAACACCCCCACCCCGCTCCTGGGCCTTCCCCGGAGTTTCCACGAAAGGCCGGGCTCCCGGGGACCACACTCCCTGGAATCCCTAGAGTTGTCCCTACGTGGGTCCCCTTATAGGGGCGCACCCGGGGGACACCGGCCTCCAGGGCGCGGCCGGGACACCGAGAGGGTGGGCAGCGCGGGTGCACGCGTCTCGGGATGGACGGTGGCTTCCCGCGTGGGAACCCGGGCTCTGTGCGCCCCGCGCGCCTCGGTCTGGCGCGCCCCCGAGGCCAGGCACCCGGCCT